TTAGCGCTTTAAGGCTTTTTCATTTCAGAAATTTCAAAAAGGTTAGTCGACATCACAGGAGACCGAAGATCTGGCAGCTACCTCGGACAAAGAATTAGTCTAGCGATTCAAAGGGGGAACGCTGCCAGTATCTTCGGAACCTTGCCTAAAGGGACTCCTTTTAATAATATATTTTAGTTTATGTTAAGGTTAGTTTTTTTTTTTAATATTCTTCTTTTTTGTGCATTTGTGTGTTGGAATTTTAATTTATGTATCTTTTTAGTAAAAATGTAAAAGCTAGAAAAAGTCCCTGGTCACAATGGCAGATGAGAGTATTACAAAAATATGTAAACTGTACACTTAATTATATGTAGACTTGTAAAGGTAAATAGATTTTTTGTGTATGTGTATATAGACAGCAAATGTATAAAAACCCTTTGAACGTCGAGAATTTGGATACAATTAAAAAAAATAATGTATGTTTGAGCTCGAGGTGAATCTTACTAACAAACATTCGTTCGCTCGGTTTCAGAGAAAGCATTATTAAGTGCCTATCTAATCCGCTGATATTTTTTTTCTGCTTAAATAAAATTTCTGGAATCCTTTTGTATGGTTATTTTATCTTGTATATATTTTAATTGTATTTTAATATTTTTTATTGTTACGCCATGGCTGTCAAAATATTTAGTCACCTTCGTAGAAGTTATAGATCACTGCCGTTTGCTTTCAAGGGAAAGGTGATTAAACTTTTAAAGTCGGGGTGCTTTTATAGCGAGTATTTGGCCCATACGGTTGACAACAATTAATTATAAATAGCTTGACTTATTATTATGACAGATTTTCTTATTATATAACTTAATGAAAATTAATGTGACTATTGCATGCCTATTTTTGTGTGGCTGATTGTGTGGATTTTTACAATTGATCGTTATAAATGTATCACTTTCTTGTGTTATGTTTACTTAAATTGTCATACATTTTAACATGCGGTAGATTTAGTACTATGTATGATGTGGTAAACTTTAATAAATAAATAAATAGTTATTGAAATGAATAACAACGGATACAATTAAAATTTGTTTTAATTAAAAATTATATTTTAGTATCCAAATCAGAAAGATAACTTTACGACATACAACAAGCGGAAAGCTATTATCGCATTTTCCGTGTCTCCAGAAATGTATGTACGGGGACATCCCGAAATGGAAGCAGGAACTTTATTAAATAATTAATTTTAACAGGTTTATTTTATTCGCGGTTTTCCGTTTGATTAATCATTAGGTACATTATTGTTTTGTTTATTCTGATAATGTTTGAACTTTATCACATTTTGTGATTTATAGCTTAGCTTAGCAATTCACACCAATTGCATAAATAAATGAAAAATTCAATTTCAATAGCTTTGATTTTAATTATTATTTATTTTCCTGGTTCATATTGTTATTAACATTGTGGTTTTAAACTATGACCTCATAGACCTCGATTTAAATATTAAAATTATTAATAATGAATATGTAGAATCAATACAATCAAAGTATACTTAACGGGCTAATTATAAAACATGCGCAAACCTTTGTCTCTGTTTCCATGGCAACGCTACATAAAAACACACAAATGAATACTTTGCATCCAGCTCCTACAGGTGTTTAATAACATAATATAATCTGTTGGAATATATATTTACTCAAGTAATAAAAAAATATCAATTAATTAGATACAAAGGAGATGGCTATGCAAATCGAATTGAGTGTTTTACAAAAACTATTTTCTCAATGAAATAAGTTTTATGATTATTATAATTTAACTATATACGTACCATTACCCAAAACGGCACTTATATGTAGCACTAACACAGTTAAAATTAACTTTTTAATCATATTAACAATTTTCTGTTGCGGTCTATTCGACGGATTTAAGCAGACTGGAATCTTAATCTTTCAACGCCGTTAAATACTTACGATATAAAATACGTCACATACTATTGGGATTTCATAAATTACTTTTTTGTTGACATAAAAACCGTACGTGCTCTATTTTTCAAAAATAGAACTACTTATAAAAATTCCATATCTTTCTAATTCGTCGCGTATAAGAAGATTTAATTTTAAAAAATAGAACTAAAATTTAATAACTACCACTATAAGTCATATTATCATCGATTTTTTGTTCCATATAGACATTTGTTTGACAAGAAATTTGTTTTTTACACCTAGGCAATCATGGGAACGATAAAAACGTGTTTATTTTTAAATCAATAATAAGTTTTCTTCTTAATTTATATTTGTCATCTTTATAATTTAAAATTATTTTAAAATCACATTCAAATATGTATAATAATATGATTTATAATTGTTTTTCGGCTTTTCGAGGGATATTTTATTTAAAAAGAGACAAAAACCAGTTTACCAATTTGTTATAATAAATATAATATTAAACTCTTTTACAAGGTCCCAGGACTGAGACATTTTAAGTAAAAAATGTTGAAAGATCAGAATTCTGTTCAGTGTGATCTTGACTTGCAAAGTCTATGAAGTACAACACTCTTCCATCCTTACAATCTGTCAAATTTAAGATGAACAATATTTTTTTTTTGACAAATTTCAGTAGCACTGAAGCATTTAGTGTTCAAATCTAAAAATACAGCAAAACTCTCTACTACATCAGGAAGCTTTGAAAAGGAATCAAAAGTAGGAACACACAGGGTCAGGATTCAAAGATAGTCGTTGTTCTAAGTTTTTGATGTTCGAAAATCATACTTAGCACTAAGTCTTTGACTCAGAATCTTGCGTATAGGGAGTAGAAGGGCCGCCATTAGAACATCATGTTCTACTAGACCACCACTTTTGCTTTCAATTCTATGATACAGACTGCAGACTTCACGATATATCTTCGTACAAAATGTAAACCAATTTTACCATATTCCAACTTTTCTTATGCTCTTTGTACCGAACTACCGAAAAGTCATACATCATGTATTCAACTGTAATTGAATTTGACAAAGTAGCTGTTGCTCCAAATATTTTTGTGTAATTCTTAGTCTAGACCTTCGCACAGTATTTTCATACAAATATAGATTTTAATACGTTGCTAATTGTACGGTTCGAGAGAAGATGGTTGCCACAAAACGTTTTCATGAAACAATATACAAATATATACAGTACAATTAAAATATATAATCATATTAAATATTATCTACTAATTTATTTTGATAGATAACGAGATAATATGTATATACAATAATTAAACGATGATATATCAGCCTAGTACCACTTCTAAAATATTTTACACTTTATTCCTTGTTTCTAAAACTCTTTCACGTTTTTACACTAAACAGCACTTTCCCTATGAAGGGTTAAAGTGACATCTGGGGGTGGGGGCTCCCACTCCCAATTGAGTCATGCCTTAGATCGACGGTCTACGGGGGGCGCCGATATATATATGCATAACTTTTACTCATAGTTTTCGACAAAGTGCTTAAACATTTATACAAAATGTAATGACCGTGGTGAAGGCTCCATACATATCACGTAATCAAAGTGATAACCTTCTTTTTTTGAAGTCTGTTAACTAATAAGCGAATATTTCAGTCATATCATATATATAGTCATGTCTTTAGAACGAGAATTAATTTATAAAGGATTTTGTCAGTAATTTTGATCGAAGTCCTAAATTGTAATATTACGGGAAGTTTGAATTTTATGACGTATATCCTTTATTTATTAATAATTGAGGTAAAATATATATTTGTCGGGGAATGCTCGGCCTATCAGGAAATTTTCTGCTCGAGTCAATATAGCCTTGATTATTATTATTGGTCTGGTTTATAATTAAGATTCCTTACTATTACTTTTAAGAATCATAATTTAATTTGATTCCATTTATTTTGTTATTATTTAATAAATAAATTCTTTTATAATTTAGAATAATTAACAAAAAAGCTCCACATGTCGTAAAATGATAAATGAAATAAAGCCAATGGGGCAGTGAAAATAAAAATGTTATTCTAAAATTAAATAAAACATATAATTTAATAGATATTACATTTCATTGGTATTTCTTAGTTTATTTAAGTTCCTTATGACTTTTTGTTACATTAATCAATCAACCTGGTACACATCTCATTTGAAACTCCTCATACTCATAGGCCAGGTCACACTGCTGAGGTTGTGGTGGTCTTAGCTGTTCCAGCTTCACAGCCGTCATCCAGCGGCCCTGAATGGCTTCCTGTAAGCTGGCTTAAGGGAAGGATGGGCGAGCCAGTTGTAAGATGCTGTGCATCTTCGCCAGATGTTTGAATGTGCCAGAAAAACGTATCTGGTTCTGATAAACCTCGTACGCTGCATTTGAAAGTTTCTTTGACCAATGTGATCCCACTACTTGTGCATTCAGGAAGATCTGTCAATTCATAATTAGTCTTTGTCAGGTAAACTTTATTATGTTTTAAGCTCAATATTTACGTGGTACAAAACAAATTTTTGTATTCTGTATAATATTGTCTAAAATTTGGAAGCCTCGCGATCCCCGACTTACAACTCTTACCAGAAATGGAATCCAAAACCTTCAGGGCAGTCATCATCCGTGTCAAGACTATTGGGTTAATTTTTGTGAAGTAAAAGATACTTTAACACGTTCACTGCGTAACAGGCCGATATCGGCCTGCCGCGGTATTTCAGCTGGTGCGGACGAAGAAATCTATGTCCCTCTCGCTGGTGCGTAACGATTATCTCAGGTGTTTGTAAAAATTCGACAGGGACAAATACATATTTCATCTTGCGGTCAAAATTGTAGGTGTTCCCCATCAAAACATAACGACAGGCTTTTATCGACCTACCACGCACTGACGCTGCTGTGCATCCACTGAGAGTTAATCTATCCTAGTGCTGTTGGGTCTAGAAAGACCTGCCACGCACTGGCGGAAATATCATTGGGGGCGCATTTTGGCCCGCCGCCGCACCTGATGAAGAATTATGATTTTACTTGCCGCAGTGAACGTGTTAAAACACTTACAATAAACAATAATGCTAATTAATTGCTTTAGCTCTGGTTTCACCGACGCCGTTCGCAGCTGCACAAGAGTATTGTCCTGCATGCTTTCTCTCAGTCTCAACTATTGTCAGACTCTGGGCTTTGGTTTGACTTCCCCATACACTATTTGGTTTTATTTCTACATTCTGAAAATATTTGTATTATATCATGGAAACTGGTAGCTATTCTGAATAGCTCAAACACTTACTTTTACGCTAAATAAACATCGTGTGTCCGTCTAATTTCTTCCACGGGAAATGTTGCGCAATCGAGTGTGCACAAGACGATTATATCAAATTTTAATTTACATAATAGACAATAGACAATTCTAAAGTTTTGGGAAATTAAGTGTTTTGTATTGTATGTGTGTGTTGAAAGACAAATCACCAAGGTTTTCTTCTCATAAAAAAATCTGCGCCTACAATCAGTTCCCTGAATTGCGATAACGAAGTAATTTCCAGGTAAAACTCCTCGGCATTTGGGTTGGACCTCCCTTTGGGTTGGAAAAACAGCACAGCGCCTTTCTTCTGCCACAGTTCTAATCGGTCAGTCGTAACGTGGTAGTGATATAAGTATACTAAAATAGTACAAAACTTTGTCTTTAACGTTAGATAAGGGAATTCCATTCTACAATATTCGCATTTCCTTACGGAGTGAAATTTCCAAATTCAAATGCATTGGCCGTCAAGATTCAAGAAGGAGTTTAATGGACATACGAAAATACTTACATTAAAATACCATGTATAATTGTCACCCGGTGGGTTCGCCTTCGTCTCGCACATCAAATGCAAAGTGTCCAGTTCTGAAACCCCCATTCAGTCTTCCGTCTCCGTTTTTTATTACTTCTACTAATGGACTATCTGCAAAAGTTTTAATTTACGTTGTTTTTTGTGGATTCTGATAAACGAGCTAGGTCTGGCTATATCCAAAATTAAAATTGCAATTCTCACTTTGAAATCAATTTTCCTTTAGTTTTTATACTTGTGTCACAGTGACCGCACACGCTCTAAAGCACGCGAAACGTCGGAAATAAATTATAAGTTTATAATAATGCATAGCTTCAATCCGCCAAAAAGGTTTTTTCTTTAAATGTGTAAAAGTTGTTAATAAAGGACAATTTTATAATTTATTTATTTTTTATTTCTTCGTGTATGTTATGTTTGCCTATAAGTGTTTATCACATTAAATATATGTATTTTATTTTCTTATGTACCAATGATTGAGTGTGTAAGTAAATAAAAAAATATTGACTCTTGTTGAATATGCCTCCAATTAGCGTCAGGGTCCTCGACTCGATATATTCTTTGCGGTCAATGAACTGAGCAAGTTCAACATAAATCCAAGCTTCGAACACTGGACTGCATTGAAGAGAATATTTAAATACTTACAGGGTACAAAAGATTTGAAGTTAGTCTACACGAAAGGTAATGAAGAGATAACTGGATACAGTGACGCCGACTGTGCCAGTGACTTATGCGCCAGAAAGTCGTGCACAGGCTATATTTTCTTGTTACAGGGTGGTGCTATTTCCTCGCGGTCACACTAACAACAAACCGTTGCCTTGTCAACGGCTGAGGCGGAGTACACGGCGATGTCTTTCGCGACACAGAAGGCGCTGTGCCGCAGCAAATTCATACCGACCTCAGTCAAATGCCAAAGCTTTTAATCTTTAGTGACAATCAAGTGCTATTAAGCTTACTACCAATTATTGTTTCTACCTAGAACTAATCATATAGACATTCGTTACGACTTCTTAAAGAATTATGTTAATAGTCAAACAATCAAGTTTTTAAATATCAAGGCAGGGGAAACGATAGCTGATAACTTAACTAAAGGCACAAATGCTGATAAACCTGTATCAATATACAGAAAAAATGGGGTTGTGTTCCAGGGGTCTTTTTTTTAATAAATGGAGGCAAAGAAAGCGGTCTACGGTACATTCTACTAATTGTAAATTTCATTACTTCTATTCTTTTTGCACAAATTTATATCCATACTTTATTATAATATTTAAGGACAAAAAAACAAACAAAATACAAAATATTAATTAATTTAAATGTTATTTCACCTAAAATATAAATAAATGTAACATGTTAAGTAAAAAAGAAATCTCACTATCACGAACAGCGATTATGCAATGTATTTAATGATGATATTTAAAAAAAATCCTTTATTTTTTTCTCCATTTAAAACATAATAAAAATCTAGTGGCGTTTCTATCTCATATTGCATCCATTTCTAATGTAAGACAAGCCGGTTTTCTGAAGTCTACCTTTTCTATACACTAAACTTAACATAATGCATGAAAATAGTAACAATTTGTTTATAAATAAAATGGGTTAATTGTCACGATATTCATACAAAACAACTCACTTGGTAATTCAGCTATAAACTTACTAAGATGAAAAATGAAATTGCTTAACAGAATGCCATGAGATTCTAAAAATGAGGTGAGTGACGAAGGGAGCGCTGTTAGTAAAGTGAGGTGCGAGTTTAAATCACAGATTATCAGAATTCCAAGCCAGAAAGTAAATATACTAACTTATCTCGACCCACATAAGATGTAATATTTTATTTTAACGACACATAAATGCATTTTTTTTTTATTATTTTCCGGTTTCTGGGTTAGGAAAGACAGAATGGGTTCACTACTTTTTTAATTCACATATGCAAAATCTATTTCATATTAAGGCTGGTGGAAGTGGTCTAGGGAACCCGGTCATCAAAATATTGCAGGTCGTTTTCCTCGCTACTCGGCTCTCAACGACAACATATCCCGCTGTCTTGCCTCCATCTATAATCCATCCAATTTGGAGCCAATATGCATGGCTAGGGAAAACGGCAAGCGGCCGGATGGCATGTCTTTGATGCTTCTTGTGTGGACACGTTAGCCACGTCAAAAGCTGGTGCGGCGACAGAGAAGGCGATTTTATTAATTTTCAATTACCTACAATGTAAATTACGTGATTTTTGAGTATCATTGTTCAAGTCCACTTACAATCATTTTTACCCACTTGTCTGCCTTGTTCGTTTGGGAATTTTGAGGTATCAGGTATGAATAAAAACACAAATGAAAATATTACAAAAATTATTGTAAAGTGATATATTTACAATAATTTTTGAAATAATAAGAGAATAAAAAAAGTTCTAACACAACATTTCAATCTTATTATCGAAGTTGTATATTCCTCGTCCAATTTCAGGATACTTCAGTTGTGACTCCTATCAATGGCTATGATATTTTCTGAATAGAGATACGTCACTGGTCACAATTAAAAGCATAAATAACGAACAGTACAGATAATTACAATTTATTTAAATCCGCCGAGCGGGGTTTCCCCAATGCATCTACGTATATTATTTAATACAATTTCCACGTCATAATCAAATTTATAGGGAGTATTATTGTCCCTAAGGTATCGTAAAAGGGTACAACCGTAACCAAGCTGTTATCGAAATTATATTTTTAGGGCAAAAGTATAGTTTTCTCAATAATAATTATAGATCAGTGCATCTTTAAGCCGCTATGTTACCAGCTTGCAACATACTCTGAAAGTAGGTACTATACTTGCTTTTTTCTAAAAGGACCATGGAGCAAACACTTGAGGTTGTGATTCACTGATAGAGTTCTTGAATTTTAATCCTAAATAATTGTTACGAAGTATTATTAAGAAGAATCGAATCTAGCGTAAGATTAAGCAATGAGAGGTTAAAAAAATTATATAATTATTGTGATTTTGTGAAAGTAATATGCGTTTACTTGGATATTTACTAAATATATTTCTTGTTTTTAATATATGTCATACTTACTTACGTATCTATGTTCTAATGCTTTCGTTAGGATAATCATAAACTTAGTGGTAAAGGTTTAAACTCGTTATATTCAAAATTCAAAAATCATTTATTCACGTAGGTAACACAATGTACACTTGTGATTCGTCATTAAAGAAATAAATAAGAAATAAATATTAATGCTTCTAATTTTACATTTACTGCCAGTTCTCAAATCAAGGGCGTAGAACGGAAGAGAAGAACTGGCAATAAACTCTCCGCCACTCTTTTTAATCGCCATATATTAATATATATATTCACTTTATATTAGAATTTTATTGATTACAATGAAGTATACAGTATTAACAATTTTATTTTTTTAGTTTTATTATTGAAGTTATACTTCTTTAGGCGCGTTATGAAAAATTGATGAGAGTGAAATTTTACGATGCGCGCGCACCTGAGACACAAAATTGTCAGTGTGATTATAGCGTGCGCGAGCGAGATAGGAATAAGATAATCTACAAGTAAAAATAAATAGAATATGCGTGAAGTTAGCAGCTATGCCAAGAATTTGAATGACCATAATGACATTTACCTTTTAAACAAATAAAAGAGTTTTAATTATTTTTTCAAAGAAATTTAGCAATGCTCTTTGAATTATAATCAGAAGTGATTTAAATTGAATATTTAAAGCAATACTAATTAATATTAGATTCCTAAGTGCTTCAATACAATTGAGGTTAATTATCCGTTTGTATTATTATTATCGAGTATTATTGTTGAGTAAAACTGAAACATGAACTTATTAAAAAACTTATTAACTTATGAGGTTATTCATTGCTTTTGTTTATTGCGTTTGTTACAGCAACTTTTTAGAAATATTCTACGACCCTATATATCAATAATTGAGAACAAAGATTTAAGCACGAATACTAATAAGGAGAAAATCAAGGCTTGGCTCGATATAACAGAGAAAATGTTTACTATTTTAATAAGTACATGCATCTCAAAAAAATGACCACATTGTTTAATCAAAACATGTAATTTTTCAGATTTAATCTATCACATATATATAATAGGGACAAGAGACAAAAAACAATTGATGAATCAGTGGAAGTGCACTAAATTGAATACAAAAAAAGAGTTGTCATCTTATCGCCGTGAAACATCAGGAGGTGGAACAAAGCCACCATCACCTTCTCCAGACACAATGGACATGGTAGAGATGATGCCTGTTTGAAGTAGATTTCAATGAATTTGATTGTGATAGTGTCGAGGTAGGAATATTAATTATAAATATGATGTATGGTGATGTTCAAGGTTCAACCTTTCAAGCATAAGCATATGCTCACAACAGTACTTTATTCCCCTACAGGGTAGTCAGAGATATTCTAATACCTCAGAACATCCATGTTGCACTTGTAGTACCGAAACTCTGTCCAGCCAGAAGTCAGCCCATTCCCACTTTTAATGGACAGTGGGTATAATACACCTTAACATCTGAATGCGAACCACTCAACATGATACTTAAATTAATAGATGTTATTTATATATTTCAGGATATTACAAATAAAATCATTTTGAAATCAATTGATATCCCAAAAGAAAATAAAGCCAACAATGACAAGGTAATAAATCAGTTTTGACATAACTTGAATAATAGAAACGCCAGACAAAGGTGTGCACAACAGTGACAACATAACTTAACAATTTCATTATTTTGTAGGATTATAATCCAAAGGTTAAAGAAAATCACGTCGAACTGAACAACAAGAATCCCCAAACAACTCCAAAGAAACCTACAAGGAAGACACCGGTATTATATTTAAATTATCTCTATATCTAAATAGAATAAAACAAAGTTGCTATCCAGGTCTGTAGCATGTGCAATTAGTTTCTCTAAACTACACAACAGATTTTGATCTAATATATAGACTGTTCTTCCAGGAAGGATTTGTATGATATGAATTATAATTTTTTAAAGTTTTGCATGGACAGAGCTTAAATTAATATTCTCTTATTTGTTGCAGAAAGCAAGTAGTAGTTTTAGTTTTGGAAAAGCCTCGTATCAAGATATGCATAGCTTTCGGGCTCTGGAAAATGAGCGGCTTCAAATAGAACACAAACATAGAATTAAGAATATGGCAGAGATGCACAACCAAGTAATGATTAATTTAAAATTACAAACCGAAATTCTGATGAAGGCATTAGAGTCACTTAAAAATAAATAAATAGTGTTTTATTTATTGTTAAAACAACCTAAATTAAAAACTATCAAACTTAAAAGTTTTCATCAATAAAAATGGCTCCACGCAGTGTATTTTGAGATGAGGGCACTGTTGTTAGTGAGGGCAGGGTCTCTTCATCATCATCAGAGATAGGTTCCTCTTTTAAATCAATGGCTATATTGTACAATACTGCCAAAGCTACAACATACATCTTAGTGTTTGGTAGAGATGTTCTAAATATATAATTATATATACTTTTAACTTAATAGAATTTATGTTACACTTAATGTAAGAGAATAATAATAAATATTTATTTATTTAATTTTTTAAATGTAAACTGAACTTTATTGACTATAATGACTCCTTTTCCAGTCTTTCATTATTTAATTGTAATTAATTATTTGCATGCAATCAAAAACTATTTTTAATAATGCCAAAGAAGTATAACTTCTTACGCGCGTACTTAAGTACACGCACCCTTTTTTTTCCTATATTGTTAAAGCTATACTGACATCGCAGCCCTTTTTTTAGAAAATTTATTCAGTGTGTCACGGTATGAAAACACTATTTCTTTTTAATTGCTTTGATTGTTACTTTTATTTTGTTCATAGCACCTTTTTTATAAATATATATATAGTTCTCGTAAACATTATAAAAGATAACTTTTACATAGTAAATGCTATCATTTACAATGGATGGAATGGATATATTAATAAATATTATAAGCTTTGAAATGTTTAGTAACTTTATTTGACAATCGTTGTGAAATTGTGTAACTAAATGACGATTTTTTGTTTTAGAACTAATGCATCTAATCTGTAATATTGTCCAATATCCAATTTATATATTTCGTTACATCAGTGTAAAAGCCTGGTGTATCAGAACCGCATCTCTTAGGTCCATGAGACACGATTCCATATTGGACATAGCGGCTCACGTCTTTATAGAAGTCTTTAATCATAAACGGACCACCAGAGTCTCCACTGCACGAGTCTTTCCCGAATTCCCCTCCACAAAACTGATTCTTCATAGTTTTCATGGATTCATTAAATCTTTGGTTTAGCAAATTTCTAAAGTACATCTTGCAATCTGAGTTGGATTTTACAGGAAAATCGACTTTCATCAGTTTTGTCGCCTGTGTGCCCGTTTCAGTCACTCCCCATCCAGCCACGGTACCAGTCTTAAAGTCCAAAACCTTATTTTTAAGTTCAGGTGTTATTGGAAGACAAATTGGTTCAACGTTAGCTGAAAAAAGGCAAATCTTGTTTATTTATGATAACGAAAAAAATATGTAATTTTCCTTTTACCACGTGGGTAAATATTGTGTTAAATAAAAAAAATATTTCTATACTTACAATGACTAAAGTCGATCTCGCCCTGCATTCTCAGCAAAGCAATGTCATTAGTCGGTGGCATCCGGCGATATTCGCTATGGGGTATTGCCATTTCAACGCGCATGTTCTGAAAGAGTACAAGTAGCATAAATGCTTTTTATCAATAACGGATTATCGGCGGATTATGACTCCCTAATGTTAAAATATATTACATTTTTGTTGTTCGGAAATCAAACTTAGCGTAAAGATTCGACCCTTAGACTATTTAATGTATAAGCAATTCACGCCTATGGTACGTACAGTGCCACATACTTTGTGTTGGATGGATGTTAGTATTGACAGTAAAAAATTTTAACCCTTATATGGGGAATAATTTGAAGTCATGAAGGCTTACTTAATAATTTATTGAAATGTCTTAACAAGACAATGTAATAATATCTACAGTTCTAAGCTTAAATAAATATGACACAAAATTAGGAACCTAGCAAGATACCTAGCAATCTGAACCGCTTAATCAATAATAATAGGAATGAAAATAAATACATTTAAGTTTTTTTATTAGATGTTCGTAGATGCTAAGTTTATTTTTCGCACCTAGAAATTGAGAGCTAACTGACAATGTCAGTCTGACATTCGCCGGCCAAGAAAAGTATGTGGCACTGTACGTCATAATATGTGATATGTTCCATGGCAAATAAAAGGACAAAATCCTATTATTTTATAATAAATGCGACCATGCATTATAGTGTATCCAAATTTATTTATAGCGATTAATCTTTATACATTTTATACTTGTGAAATTTCACAGTAACCACACTGTTACATCCAATAGCGATGAATTGAAGGTTATGGTTCGGGTCACCACATCATTGCTATCGCTAATAGGAATACTGGCGCTGGTTCCTTATCAAAATCCAAAGTCCTTTCAAACTTATATGAATACACAGTAACAGTTTAAACATTCAAATTTAGAAATGAATATTCTTCAATAGATTTAACGCAAACAATTATTGCGCTGATTCCTCATTACCTGAATATGGTTCTCACAGTTAGGGTATACTCCAGCTTCATACTCGCAGTCCATATCCGTACTGACATCGAATTCTCCTATCCTCACATCTCGAATATTTTTGTTGACCACGCAGTGAGCAGCAGTCAAGATGTATTTTGAGTTAATAATCGTCCCTGCACATTCGAATTGCGGACCATACCCTGAAAATAGTTTTTTTTATCTGCGATGTCTTAACGTAGCGCCCGTAGGGATGAACGGTCATATATGCTAAGTCGATGTTAAACCGTTATTATCAGTATATATAGACAACAACAAATACAACATAACTTTGTTCATAGAAACAGTATATGGTATCGTTATTATTCCACCCTAATATTCATAAAGAAATCAGTCCAATTGCCCCCACTCAAATAAAATTCTCTTTCTTGTCTTGAAAATTCTACGAAGCAGAAACAGATGAGTTTAGTTTAGAAAGAATTCTATAAATAAACACGTGACTTATATTTTTTTCAAAACAGGCTATAATTATATGTCGCAGCCAACTAGCTAAATTAGCCGTTCAATCAGCAGCCTAGCCGTTTAACTAGCGGCCTGAAAGTTGTTTAGCCAGTTGATTAAACAGCTAGGCAAATGACTTGGATCGACGAAGTTTCATTACTTGCCTAGCCTGTTGACTGTTAATTAAAGTTTAATTCCACTTTCTGCTAATCTCTAACTCGAAACGAAACTCTTCGAACTGTCAATATGGCGTCCGCTAACCACAAATTTGATGGTGTTTTCCAAATTTTCATAAAAAACAACAAGTACAATGGAAGAGTGTAGTGACAATAATAATGTGAATTTCACTTAAGAAATTTAATTTTTAAAGGAAACATTTTTATGTCATATGTTTATATATTTTGTATTTCTGCCAAATAACGACTCTATCTTACGAATGGCCTAAGCATTAGCCAGCCGGTTTATTAAAGGTTGTAACAAACGCTACGGCTGAATATCTTTCAGATCGTTAGTTAAACAGCGCCGTTTAGTTAAAAGGCAAGGCTGTTAATTTAACGGCTAATTAAGCTATTCGGCTGCGACATATATATAATAATTATAAAACACCCTAAATAATCTCGTATTAACATATTCTACAAAGGTCTGCTCTATGTATGAAATTAAATACTAACTTCTATTATAAGAGATAAGGGCCATCCAAGGGAATTCGTAGAGTTTAGCGTATTTGCCTCCAAAGATACGATTTCCCAAAATACTTCCACACATTTCTGGTAGAAGGTGATCTTTACTTATTCCGCTTCTGCTGTCTAACGAAGGCATCGTATTAAGAGGTGGAAAAACGGAACAGCATACCTAGAAGAATATTACCATTATATATGCTTCACGACTCGTCGTCATAAGTACTTTTAAAGCGTTATGTGCTACGGTATTGTACTGTGGGGTGCTGCTGCAGAGGTTCATTCCTGGTTGTTCGGGGTATTTGTTGTTTCCCCAAGAGAGTCGCTACGGAATAAGTGTAAGGAATTAAATATTATGACACTATCTGGGCAACTGGGCAATATATTCTTGATGCCTTGTTGTATGTACAAAAAAAAAGGGTGCGTGTACTTATGTACGCGCGTAAGAAGTTATACTTCTTTGGCATTATTAAAAATAGTTTGGCTTTGTTCCACCTCCAGTTTTTGATGTTTCACAGCGATAAGATGACAACTCTTTTTTTGTATTCAATTTAGTGCACTTACACTGATTCATCAATTGTTTTTTGTCTCTTGTCCTTATATTTGCTAGAGAAAAATTACATGTTTTGATTAAACAATGTGGTAATTTTTTTAATCAAAACATTACTCGATAATAATAATACAAACTGATAGTTAACCTCAATTGTAATGAAGCACTTAGGAAGGTTGATGAGCACAGTTTTTTCACAAATATTAATTAGTATTGGTTTAAATATTCAATTTAAATCACTTCTGATTATATATAATTCAAAAAGCATTGCTAAATTTCTTTGAAAAAATTATTAAAACTCCTTTATTTGTTTAAAAGGTAAATGACAAATGTCATTATGGTCATTCAAAATTCTTGGCATACGAACTTCACGTATATTCTATTTCTTTTTACTTGTAGATTGTCTTATTCCTATCTCGCTCGCGCACGCTATAATCACACTCCTAATTTTGTGTCACGGTGCGCGCGCATCGTAAAATTTCACTCTCATCAATTTTTCATAACGCGCCTAAAGAAGTATAACTTCAAAAATATAAACGATTTTTAAACAAATGGTGACTTTCATCAGTATAATATTCGAAACAGCGTACGATAAGCCAGGCTCCAGAAGATAAACCACTCCTTATATGGAAAAAATTCTCTGAATAAATTGAAAACTCTCGTTAATCGTTAAATCCATTAAGGATACGCTTAACGAGAGTTTTTCTTTTTATAAATTTGACGATTGTTTACATGTTTCTAATCTTGGGGTTGATTTTCTCCTATTCAAACAATTTGTATGACTCAAAACTTGGCGATTAAAAAGAGTGGCGGAGAGTTTTTCGCCAGTTCCTCTTGACCTCTCTACGTCCTTGACTTGCGAACTGGTAGTAAATGTAAATTTAGAATCAATTTAACATCTTTTCTGTTTACGTTCATTAGTGTGATTGGTTACCTACATTAATAAAGTTATTTTGTGTTTGAGGCGAACGCCATGACAATCGATTAACTCGCAAAGTAAAAGTTACTTAAAAAGCGCTCAGTGGGAGCATTTAACACACTTGAAGCACGTTTTGCGTCGTTCGAAGAGAGTACGTGTACGTATCGTACGTATACGTACGGGCAATAGGTCGAACGATGTTTGCGCTTCCATTTAGTTCCAAATGGGATTAAACCCAGACATAAACCGCTTAGGTCTATGGGCGGTTTTCTCATGATGTTTCCCTTGACCAATCAAGTGAATATTAAATAATTACATTGAAGGAACATTTTTTGATAAACTGTAATACCAAATTTATGATACTATTACCTTATGTATCCTTTCGCCATTTTCATATCCCATGCCGCAAAAAGCTGTGGAAAACATTTGCATTGTTTCTCTGTCTCGCTTTAAGGTCGCGTGATCAAATGCCGCCTTGCATTTGGTATATACCATACAATCATTACAAATACCTGGAATTTTCAATATAATATATGAGCCCATATAATGACATGATATGTACATTACCATGTTCAGATATAGCACGGGCCTTTGTATGACTTTTTTTAGGAATCTCCCTCCCACAAATATGTTAACTATGTTGGACCATGAATATTGTAAATAATAATATTGCCCGACGCGTAACACGATAGTGTATAATTTTAATTTATGTATCTTTTTAGTAAAAATGTAAAAGCTAGAAAAAGTCCCTGGTCACAATGGCAGATGAGAGTATTACAAAAATATGTAAATTGTACACTTAATTATATGTAGACTTGTAAAGGTAAATAGATTTTCTTGTGTATGTGTTTATGTGCGTATAGACAACAAATGTAAAAAAACCCTTTGAACGTCAAGAATTTGGATACAATTTGAAAAATAATTTATTTGGGCTGGCGGTCAATCTTTCTAGCATAGACAATAGACATAGACATAACATTTATTACTAACAAAACACACAAAAATAAACACACAAAATATAAAAGAGAGGGGGGGGGAAGGGGGGGGGGGGGGGGGGGGGGGGGGGGGGGGGGGGGGGGGGGGGGGGGGGGGGGGGGGGGGGGGGGGGGGGGGGGGGGGGGGGGGGGGGGGGGGGGGGGGGGGGGGGGGGGGGGGGGGGGGGGGGGGGGGGGGGGGGGGGGGGGGGGGGGGGGGGGGGGGGGGGGGGGGGGGGGGGGGGGGGGGGGGGGGGGGGGGGGGGGGGGGGGGGGGGGGGGGGGGGGGGGGGGGGGGGGGGGGGGGGGGGGGGGGGGGGGGGGGGGGGGGGGGGGGGGGGGGGGGGGGGGGGGCGGCCCCCCCCCGAGCCCCGCGCGGGGGGGGGGGGGGGGGGGGGGGGGGGGGCCCCCCCCCCCCCCCCCGGGGGGGGGGGGGGGGGGGGGGGGGGGGGGGGGGGGGGGGGGGGGGGGGGGGGGGGGGGGGGGGGGGGGGGGGGGGGGGGGGGGGGGGGGGGGGGGGGGGGGGGGGGGGGGGGGGGGGGGGGGGGGGGGGGGGGGGGGGGGGGGGGGGGGGGGGGGGGGGGGGGGGGGGGGGGGGGGGGGGGGGGGGCGGGGGCGGGGGGGGGGGGGGGGGGGGGGGGGGGGGGGGACGCCCCCCCCCCCCGGGGGGGGGGGGGGGGGGGGGGGGGGGGGGGGGGGGGGGGGGGGGGGGGGGGGGGGGGGGGGGGGGGGGGGGGGGGGGGGGGGGGGGGGGGGGGGGGGGGGGGGGGGGGGGGGGGGGGGGGGGGGGGGGGGGGGGGGGGGGGGGGGGGGGGGGGGGGGGGGGGGGGGGGGGGGGGGGGGGGGGGGGGGGGGGGGGGGGGGGGGGGGGGGGGGGGCGGGGGGGGGGGGGGGGCGGCGCCGCCCCCCCCCGGGGGGGGGCCCGCCCCGCGGGGGGGGGGGGGGGGGCGGGGGGGGGGGGGGGGGGGGGGGGGGGGGGGGGGGGGGAGAGGGGGGGGGGGGGGGGGGGGGGGGGGGGGGGGGGGGGGGGGGGGGCGGGGGGGGGGGGGGGGGGGGGGGGGGGGGGGGGGGGGGGGGCGGGGGGGGGGGGGGGGGGGGGGGGGGGGGGGGCGGGGGGGGGGGGGCGCCGCGGGGGGGGGGGGGGGGCGGGGGGGGGGGGGGGGGGGGGGGGGGGGGGCGCGCCCCCCCCCCCCCCGGCCGGCGGGGCCCCCGCCCCCCCCCCCCCCCCCCCCCCCCCCCCCCCCCCCCCCCCCCCCCCCCCGGGGGGGGGGGGGGGGGGGGGGGCCCCCCCCGGGCCCCCCCCCCCGCAGCCCGGGGGGGGGGGCGCCCCGCGGCGGGGGGCCCCCCCCCCCCCCGCGGGGGGGGGGGAGGAAGGGGGAAAATAAGGGGGGGGGGGGGGGGGGGGGGGGGGGGGGGGGGGGGGGGGGGGGGGGGGGGGGGGGGGGGGGGGGGGGGGGGGGGGGGGGGGGGGGGGGCCCCCCCCCCCGCGGGGGGGGGGGGGGGGGGGGGGGGGGGGGGGGGGGGGGGGGGGGGGGCGGGACACCCCCCCCCCACCCACCCGGGCCCCGCGGGGGGGGGCCCCCCCCCCCCCCCCCCCCCGCGGGGGGGGGGGGGGGGGGGGGGGGGGGGGGGGGCGGCCGGGGGGGGGGGGGGGGGGCGCCCCCCCCCCCCCACACCGCCCCCGGGGGGGGGGCGGGGGGGCCCCCCCGGGGGGGGGGGGGGGGGGGGGGACCCCCGGAGCCCCCCCCCGCCCCCCCCCCCCCCGGGGGGGGGGGGGCCCCCCCCCCCCCCCCGGGGGGGGGGGGGGGGGGGGGAAAACCCCCAGGCCCGTGGGGGGGGGGGGCGGGGGGCGCGGGGGCCGGGGGGGGGGGGGGGGGCCCCCCCCCCCGCCAAGGGGGGCACGGCCTCTCCCCCTCCGCGTTCTGTTTTGTTGGATGGGGGGGCCGGGGGGGTAAGTTTTTTTATTTTTGAGGGCCGTGGGTTTGGCAGCGCGCGCTGCCCCGCCCCCCCCCCCTAAAAAACTCTCTCTCTCTCCGCGCGGGCGCCCCTGGCAAGACCTGTAAACCAGGGCTAGAACTTGCCACCGGTCGGCAGACCCACCCCCCAAAATGAAAGATAACAATTTTTTTACACGCTTTATATTAGCTTCACCTGTATGTATGTATGTATGTAACCGACTCCTTCGGACTCGATTTTTACCCACTTTTAACGGACAGATTTAATTTAAACTTTGTGCACCTGTCAAAGATCAATGACAATGCAATAATCCGAAAAAAAAAAATAACTAAAAAATAAATAATAGTTAAAAAAAACTAAAAAACACGCTTTTAAAGCACTTCAAACTAAAAAGTGAATAAATAGGTTGCTCGATAGACGAAAAATATGGCACAGAGCGCGCCACGCTTTTTCACAATAATACCAGTATTTTTTGTTCATTACCATTTTCAGCCAAAATTAGGAATTATTTTTCACTTCTTAGTTTGTTGTGCTTTAGAGCGTGTTTTTTTAGTTTTTTTAAACTATTATTTATTTATTTTAAAGAACGCGTACGTTTTAATCGTGTAATGCGTGTGTGCTGTGGTTGTAATTAGCACTGGCTCAGCATTATGCTGAGGAGCAGACTGTTCCACAGCGCTGGTAATTTATTTCACCAAACGTAGTTATTAAAATACAACCAATACAATTTAATTTTTTTATTATTAAAATTTTTATTTATGTATCCAAATCCAAATCAGAAAGATAATTTTCGACACACAAGAAGCGGAAAGCTATTATCTCATTTTCCGTGTCTCCAGAAATTTATGTATGTGGATATTTCGAAATGGAAACAGGAAGTTTGATTAAATAATTAATTTCAACATATTTGATTATATTCGCGGTTTTCCGTTTAATTAATAATTTTTTTTTTTTTTTTTTTTTTTGGGTTGTGGGGGGGGGGTTGGGGGGGGGGGGGGGGGGGGGGGGGGGGGGGGGGGGGGGGGGGGGGGGGGGGGGGGGGGGGGGGGGGGGGGGGGGGGGGGGGGGGGGGGGGGGGGGGGGGGGGGGGGGGGGGGGGGGGGGGGGGGGGGGGGGGGGGGGGGGGGGGGGGGGGGGGGGGGGGGGGGGGGGGGGGGGGGGGGGGGGGGGGGGGGGGGGGGGGGGGGGGGGGGGGGGGGGGGGGGGGGGGGGGGGGGGGGGGGGGGGGGGGGGGGGGGGGGGGGGGGGGGGGGGGGGGGGGGGGGGGGGGGGGGGGGGGGGGGGGGGGGGGGGGGGGGGGGGGGGGGGGGGGGGGGGGGGGGGGGGGGGGGGGGGGGGGGGGGGGGGGGGGGGGGGGGGGGGGGGGGGGGGGGGGGGGGGGGGGGGGGGGGGGGGGGGGGGGGGGGGGGGGGGGGGGGGGGGGGGGGGGGGGGGGGGGGGGGGGGGGGGGGGGGGGGGGGGGGGGGGGGGGGGGGGGGGGGGGGGGGGGGGGGGGGGGGGGGGGGGGGGGGGGGGGGGGGGGGGGGGGGGGGGGGGGGGGGGGGGGGGGGGGGGGGGGGGGGGGGGGGGGGGGGGGGGGGGGGGGGGGGGGGGGGGGGGGGGGGGGGGGGGGGGGGGGGGGGGGGGGGGGGGGGGGGGGGGGGGGGGGGGGGGGGGGGGGGGGGGGGGGGGGGGGGGGGGGGGGGGGGGGGGGGGGGGGGGGGGGGCCCCGCGGGGGGGGGGGGGGGGGGGGGGGGGGGGGGGGGGGGGGGGGCCCCCCCGCCGGGGGGGGGGGGGGGGGGGGGGGGGGGGGGGGGGGGGGGGGGGGGGGGGGGGGGGGGGGGGGGGGGGGGGGGGGGGGGGGGGGGGGGGGGGGGGGGGGGGGGGGGGGGGGGGGGGGGGGGGGGGGGGGGGGGGGGGGGGGGGGGGGGGGGGGGGGGGGGGGGGGGGGGGGGGGGGGGGGGGGGGGGGGGGGGGGGGGGGGGGGGGGGGGGGGGGGGGGGGGGGGGGGGGGGGGGGGGGGGGGGGGGGGGGGGGGGGGGGGGGGGGGGGGGGGGGGGGGGGGGGGGGGGGGGGGGGGGGGGGGGGGGGGGGGGGGGGGGGGGGGGGGGGGGGGGGGGGGGGGGGGGGGGGGGGGGGGGGGGGGGGGGGGGGGGGGGGGGGGGGGGGGGGGGGGGGGGGGGGGGGGGGGGGGGGGGGGGGGGGGGGGGGGGGGGGGGGGGGGGGGGGGGGGGGGGGGGGGGGGGGGGGGGGGGGGGGGGGGGGGGGGGGGGGGGGGGGGGGGGGGGGGGGGGGGGGGGGGGGGGGGGGGGGGGGGGGGGGGGGGGGGGGGGGGGGGGGGGGGGGGGGGGGGGGGGGGGGGGGGGGGGGGGGGGGGGGGGGGGGGGGGGGGGGGGGGGGGGGGGGGGGGGGGGGGGGGGGGGGGGGGGGGGGGGGGGGGGGGGGGGGGGGGGGGGGGGGGGGGGGGGGGGGGGGGGGGGGGGGGGGGGGGGGGGGGGGGGGGGGGGGGGGGGGGGGGGGGGGGGGGGGGGGGGGGGGGGGGGGGGGGGGGGGGGGGGGGGGGGGGGGGGGGGGGGGGGGGGGGGGGGGGGGGGGGGGGGGGGGGGGGGGGGGGGGGGGGGGGGGGGGGGGGGGGGGGGGGGGGGGGGGGGGGGGGGGGGG